GGGGGGCCCTGAGGCTGAGCCTGCTCAGCCCCCCAGCACGCCTGGCAGGAGGGAGTGTTGGGCGCTTGCCGAGCCTTTTGTGTTATCTTGTTTTTCGGTTTTTCCAGGCAGGGTTCCTCTGTGTAGCCCTGGCTATCCTGGCACTCGCTCTGGAGACCAGGCTGGCCTCGAACTCACAGAGATCCACCTGCCTCTGCCTCCCCAGTGCTGGGATTAAAGGCGTGCGCCACCAACGCACTGCCGAGCCTTTTGTGTTGAGCACTTTGTTATGGACCTCGTCATAACAAATACTCTGATGGTGGCCTCAGGAGGATCCCACATCCCTGCCCGCTGCTCCACTTCGTGGTGTCAGTCAGTCTGTCTGTCTGTCTGTCCTTCCACCGGCGCCTGGAGGCAGCTTCTGTTAGCACCGTCGTCTCCCATGCTGGCCATACCGAGGCTCAGAGGGGTAAACAGTTTGTCAGTTCGCACTCGCTGGTGAACGCCAGAGCCTCAAGTCCCTCTGACTGCCCACGCTGCAGTCTGTCCTGCTGCACCACTCTTTGAAGATGGCCACTCTTGCTTAGTACGAAGGAAAGACCAGAAAACTTAACAGCAGATTCCTGGGGTCCATGTACATAGGACCCCCTAAGTGAGGGTGGGAAGCCACTGTGTGGGACTAGAGTGGGAAGCAGAGAGAAAGAAGCTCCAGTTCGTAACAGAAAAAAGGGTTTTCCTAACCTGGGGATGTCCTGCAAGGAGACAGTGCTGAGCTCAGAGAAGGGTGACGCCTACTAACACAAGTTATTATTATTTCGTGTTTTTGAGACAGGACTTGGTGTAACCCTGGCTGGCTTTGAATTCCCGATCCTCCCACCCTCACTCCCCAAGTCTTGTGGTTACAAGCATAAGCCACCACGCCAAGCATTCTTTGTTGCTGCTGTTGTTTGCTTTGAGACAGCCCAGACTGGCCCCAGATTGGTGATCTTGCCTGCTCAGTGCTGGGATTAAAGACCTCATGGTTCCCACTTGATTCAGAACCTGTAAATCTGGAGTCAGTGTTATACAGCCAGAGTTGAGGGTCAAGGTGTAAGCTCGAGTCTGCCAGGTCTCCCAGGCAGAATTGTGTATTCTCATCCCATGTAAACACTGGCCTGGAAAGTGAGGAAGGTGTGTGGGCTAATGGGCTCTCCTGACTTTGGAAGGCTAAAGGGGTAAGAGTGTTGGTCCTCCTGACTCACTCCCCCAGGGCCTGTTACAGGCCTGCTCTGTCCTATCCAGAAAGCAGCAATGCTGCTTTGCTCTCTTCTGCCTATGCTAGCTGTCTTAAGGTTCTAGACTGTTTCTGCTGCAGCAGCTGTGAGATATGTAAGTGGTACCTAGCTTTTCCCCTACCATCCTGATCTGGGAGTTCTTTAATATCGCTTTAAAGGCCAGTGTGGCAGCACGGGCATGTGATCCCAACACTGCATAGGTGGAGGCAGCGTCAAGAGTTCAAAGCCAGCCTCTGCTACACAAGACCCTGTAACAAACAAGTAAAGGAAACAAAACAATATTACTTTTAGTTTCCCTATATTCAGTGAACACATTGACAGCCTCCCTCTGAATTCTCAGGTTTTCCAGGGTTGGTAGTCATCATGAGCTCATTACAAAATACAGGATACTTTCGTGCATTCATGCAGACGCCGAGGATAGCCCCAGCTGACCAGGGCACTGGTTATGTGGATAGGATATAAGCAGAGGGTAAAGGAACCACCCCAGTTGGTTCCTTCTCAGGGTGGCTGAAAATGCAAAGCCTCCCCCTCCCCCCAGCAGATCATGGGTTAGCGACTGGGACTGCCAGGTGCCTAGGAGTGGGAGTGAACACCTGCTTTTGAGATCCAAGATCCTATGCTAATCTTTACCGGGCAGTCAAATATCAGATTGTTACTTTGTAACTTGTTTTCTTTTGGGGGCTGTCATACAATGTAGCCCATCCTACTTTGAAGTAAGGGAAATCCCCCTGCCTCAGATTCCCTAATACCGGATTACAGGTATGAATCGTGTATCCAGCCCACTATCAGAGTCTTCCTCACATCATATGCTTGTACGGCCAGGCACCGGTGTGCAGGGAAGGGTTAGCCGAAGTAGAGAGCCCGCCTTCCTATGTGGAGGGCAAGGCAGGCATCAAATGAATACAAATTATTAAGTGAATTATAAGGGTGCAAAATCCATCAAGGAAAGTTCCATTATTGGGTGCCACCTGGGGGCTTCTTACCCTGGTCTAAAGGCTAGGACAGATGTTGTAGGGAAGTGGATTGCCTTCATCTGAAGGACACTGGATTCACCTGAGGTGAAGAGGTAAGGTAGAGGGCTTTTTATGAAATGATTCATTCAGTTTTTTACTTTATGTGCATCCGTGCGAGGGTGTCAGATCCCCTGGAACTTGACTTGTAGATGGCTGTGAGCTGCCATGTGGGTACTGGGAATTGAACCCAGGTCCTCTGGAAGAACAGTCAGTGCTCTTAACCACTGAGCCATCTCTCCAGCTCCTGATAGACGACTTTGTTAGCCGAGAAACCATCCTTAGGAATGGTCCAAGGCAGGTGAGGGACAGTGAGTATCAGGGACCAGACAGTATGGAGTATAAATCACACAGGGCAGGGGAAGTCACTGAAAGGGAGTCACTGGGGAGAAGCAAGAACAGGTTCGCCCAACTTCTAGTTCCACTTGGGCTGCAATGAGGATTGCCTTTAGGAAGTTCAGGTTTGCTGCCCCCTCAGCCACAGCCTGTTCTGCCTTTCCTCATTGGCCATCCTTGCACAGAAGGCAGAGAGCCTCCTGAGAGAAGCTGAAAGGTGGGAGGCGTGAACTCTGGGTGGTGCCGGGGCTCAGCACTGCCCAATACCTCCCTGTCCCCATCGTCATTTATTCCCTCAGCAATGTACTTTGAACCAGTGAGACAGTAATTGTCATCTTATGCATGGCTCAAGCAGCAGTCAGTTTGTCAGGTTAAAGAAGAAATTCCCCCTCCCCTCCTTTGGCAGGGGCTCCCTGCGTAGCCCTGGCTGGCCTGGAACTCAGACATCTGCTTGCCTCTGCCTCTCAAGTAACTGGGCTCAGAGATGTGAGCCAACAACCATTATTATTTTCTGAGTGTGTCTTTTATCTTTTCCTAGCTGGTGGTCTTCACTGGAGGCTTTTTATTTGTTTGTTTATTTAATTGTACTTCATGTGGAGCTCACAGGTTTCCGGTGTGTTCCGTGTTTATCTTTTTACTTGGCATCTATCACTACAGCAACCCAGACTATGGTCTCCATAGCTGGAGGAGGTGGGTGGCTCCCTGATAGGAAAATGGGAACTTTTCTCTCCATCGGGGTAGGTCTCACTTTGGAAGATAACTGTCTAAGTCTTGGGGTTCGTTTGCTTTCGAGTCCGATATGACAATATGCTGCCCCGCTTTAGTTGCAGAGGAGAGTGGCCGTGTGTGGCGGGAGGAGCAGCCTGACCCCGCTCTCCAGGTTGGGGCCCTGTACTTGGACGAGGAGGAGGCTGTGCAGGGCCATCCTGGACAGGAGAGGGCGGTGGAGCCGGCCGAGGCCTCTCTGGGGCCGGGCACTCGTGGAGATCCCGTGCTGGTGCTGTCGGTGATTCCGGGGGCAGCTGAGGACCAACGGAGCGCCGAGGCCCGAGACGGCACCTGCAGCACACTGGGAGAGGAAGACCCGAGCTGCAGCCAGGAGAGCCTCTTCGCGCTGCACCGTGTGGGTGGCTTCCCGGAGCGGGAAGAGGAGTACTACGCCGAGCCTGGAGCGGCGGAGGCCGAGCCGGTCGCCACCGAGGATGCCAACAGCACCGACAGTCTCAAGTCCCCCAAGGTGAACTGTGAGGAGAGGAATGTGACCGGGCTGGAGAATTTCACCCTGAAGATTTTAAACATGTCCCAGGTAGGAAGCCTGCATTAATAATGCCTGTCTGTCTGTCTATCTCTGTCACTTTGTCTCTCCAAGCTTAAACCTTATGATTTAAACCTTATAATCGGCTTTCAGGTGGACATTGCCCAGGCTGGTCTCCAGCACCTGGGCCCAGGTGGGTGTGACTTGAGGGTGCTGCCACCGTCAGCCTCATTTCTGTCCACTGTAAGTGAGGATGATGTTGAATGACTGCCCCAGTGCAAGTGATTTGCACACACACTGGATGGCTCACAAGAGAGAAGTCTGCTCTTCCCGAGGGTTCAGATTCAAGTTCCCAGCACACAATCACATGGACTCCAGCTCCGGGGGTGCAGTGCCCCCTTCTGGCTTCCTCAAGCACCGGCATGCAGGTGCACACACCTACACTCAGATATACACACGATTAAAACATAATAAAAATAAATCTTTTCATAAGAAAAGAAAATCGGGATGACTAAAACTACAGTTGACTGTTTCTGCTGGGAAATGTGTCAGTGAGTCTAATGTTAGTTCTGCAGTGAGTGGCGCCATTGTCCCAAACCCCACCACGTTTCCAGTTACTTCCATGAACGATGATTCCCCAGGGGTATTCTGGAAGAATGGCAGACAGTTACAGTCAACAGTTAAGAAGCAAGAGGAGCAGGATACAGTCAGCTCTGGGAGCCATGGTGGCTCATGTCATAGAGGGCGTGGCATATTTAAGTCATGAAGTTTCTCCAGGGCCTGGGGTCAGCCTGGCTCACATTTCCTTCAGAGTGCCTCCTAAATACTCTTGCCAGGCCATGTGATGCCACTCATGGTCACACATGACCAAGCCAGTCTGGTGGCAGGAGCAATGCTCCCTTGAATTGCACTAACCTTTGGCCGTACACATTGATCTTAGCTCTGCCAAGATGACAGTTGGAAATTGTTTGATGTGTTATCTTTTTCTTACTGAAACAAAATACCTGAGGCCATCAACTTAAAAAGAAAGACAGCTTCTTTGGGCTCACAGTTTTGGAGCTCTCACTTGGCTCTGTTGTTTGGGGGCCTGAGGTAAGGCAGCCTGCCATGATGGAAAAATACCTCACCTCCTGAGGATGGCCCAGTAAAAAGAGAATGAAGAGGTCAAGTTTGGAGTCAGTCTGGTCTACAGAGTGAGTTCCAAGTTAGCCAGAGCTACATAACGAGACCCTGTGAATGAAACGAAACAAAAAGATCAAGGTCCAGCAATCCCCTTCAAAGGCAATAAATACTCCAGGGCTGGAGAGAGGCTCAGAGGTTAGGAGCACTGGCTGCACTTGCAGAGGACCTGGGTTCCATTCCCGGCACCCACACGGGAGCTCACCATCATCTGTAGCTCTGGTTCCAGAGGATCTGATGCCCACTTCTGACCACCACAGGCACCAGACACAGACAAGCAGCAGAAGACTCAGAAACAACAACAAAGACAAGCTCCAGTGACCTCTGACCTCCCACTGGAGCGTCCTTTCTGATGTTGGAACTATCTTCCGATACGCACAGGCTGAGGAGTAAGCCTCCAACAAGAGTGTTTGCTGCTTTTCTAGAGGACTGAATTCGGTTCCAAACACTCATGTTGGGCATCTCACAATGACCTGTAATTTCAGCTCAGGGGATCTGATGCCTTCTTCTGGTTTCCATAGCTTCTGCATGCTCACATACATACATCACACACAAACACATAAGTAAAAATAAAGTAATTTTTTTTTTTTTTTTTTTTTTTTTTGAGACAGGGTTTCTTTCTGTAACAGTCCTAGGTGTCCTGAAATTTACTCGGTATACCAGGCTGGCCTCGAATTCACAGAGATCCTCCTGCCTCTGCCTCCCAAGTGCTGGGATTAAAGAAGTGCACCACCACCGCCTGGCTAAATAAATCTTAAAAGAGCCAAAGCATGGTGTTTGTGATGTACAGTTCTGTGGCCTGGCCCGTGGTCTCTATATGCTGTGAGTACTTAGTATTTGAGTTCACTAGTTAAGAAAATGCTAGAGTAGCTTCAGGAGAGCATAGAGATAAGTGTGCTTTTCTGCTAATTCATGTGTGCTCTGGTTCCAACTCCTGACAGTGTTTAAGGGGTCGGTCTCCGTCCTCTCTGCCCACGCACTGTTCACTGATTGGAGGCAGCAGGGCATCCTTCCTGGGTACACTTTCATAAACATGTACATGTTCACTTTTTGTTTTGTTTTTTTCGAGACAGTGTTTCCCTGTATTTCTCTGTGAAGCTTTGGAGCCTGTCCTGGAACTCTTTCTGTAGACCAGGTTGGCCTCGAACTCACAGAAATCCACCTGCTTTTGCCTCCTGAGTGCTGGGATTAAAGGCATGCGTCACCACCACCCAGCAACATGTATACTTTTTTTTTTTTTTTTTTTTTTTTGCAGTCTCTCTCTATATATCCCTGACTGCCCTGGAACTTGCTGTGTAGACCAGGCTGTCCTTTAACCGAAAGAGTTTCTTCTTCCTCCCCACTTGCCTAGGCCACACAGGCACATTTAATGCTGACTTTTAACTATTGTCTCTTTCTCTACAGGACCTTATGGATTTTCTAAACCCAAATGGTAGTGACTGTACGCTGGTCCTCTTCTACACCCCGTGGTGCCGATTTTCTGCTAGCCTGGCCCCTCATTTTAACTCTCTGCCTCGGGCATTTCCAACTCTTGGCTTTTTGGCGTTGGATGCCTCTCAGCACAGCAGGTATCTTTGGTGTGGGTGCTTGTCCTTTCAGCTGATGGCTGTAGTCACATGAGGCCTTTGTTGGTTAAGCTACAAGTAGGGAGCTGGGCAGTGGTGGCACACGCCTTTAATCCCAGCACTCAGGAGGCAGAAGCAGACAGATCTCAATGAGTTGGAGGCCATCCTGGTTTTCAGAGTGAGTTCCAGGACAGCCAGGACTGTGACACAGAAAGCCTGTCTCAAAACAAAACAAAAGCTACAAGTAGGGAAGGTCCACAGGGCTTTGAAAAGGATGGAAGAGAAAGGCAAGTGTGAGGGCTGCTGGTTGTCAGTTTCTAGAAGTCCTTAATGAAATAGGCCTGTTCTGTGTGGGCAAGTGGTGCCACAGTGGGGTATCTCTTTGTGACAGTAGCCTGCAGTACAGTTTCCCAGCCCTGTGCTCTGCCGTGTCCATGCGTTTTGTTTGTTTATTTTTTTTAATTGTTATCTTCTTTTTAAAGTGCCCTTATTTATTTTTAACTTATGTGTATGGGTGTTTTGGCTGCATATATGGCTGTGTGCTGCATGCCAGTGGAGGCCAGGAGAGGCTGCTGGATACCAGGGAGCTGGAGTTATGTGAGCCACGATGAGGTCCCTCTGAAGGATCAGCCTGTGCTCTTAACCACTGAGCCATCTCTATGCCCCCTTCTTAATCTTAAAAAACTGATCTGTCTTTGTGCATATGCCCATGTATGTGGGTGCCTGAAGGAGCTAGTAAAGGGTGTCAGGCTCCCCAGAGAGACAGAGACAGAGAGAGAGAGAGAGAGAGAGAGACAGGGCACTGGACATGGGGGTGTTGAGTCACACACAGAGAGAGAGAGAGAGAGAGAGAGAGAGAGAGAGAGAGAGAGAGAGAGAGAGAGAGTTATAGGAGGTGGTGAGCACTGGCCCTGGGAACGAAGCTCTGGTTCTCTTCCAGAGCGATATGCACACTTCACTGAGCCAACCCTCCAGCCCTCTTGTTATCTTCTCCTTTCTTTTCCTGTCTTTTCTCTCTTTATACTTATTTACAGTTACTTTTCTTTTTTCCTTTTCTAAGATAGAGCCTCACTCTGTAACCCAGACTGGCCCTGAATTCTCAGTAGTCCTCATGTCTCAGCCTCCCGAGTGCCGAGATTACAGGTGTGAGCCACCACACTTATGTCGCATGCATGTTACAAACTATGCATTAATATATTATTATAATTATGCACTTAATATATTAACAAGTGGATGTATTCCTTTATAATGACATTATCCATGTTTATATTTATTTTCTATTGTTCTCAGGGCTTTTTGATGTCTTTTTTCTTGGGCATAGCAGTGGGTTTAACTGTTACTCAAGCAGCAATGACAGGTACCATTGTAGGCTGCTCATCACCATGCCTGGCTTGTCTTTGAATTTTATTTATTTATCTATCTATTTAATGTGTGTGTTCTTACTGTTTGTGGAGAAATAAATTGTCCCTCAAATTAGTAATTACCATTTTTTTAAAGACTTATTTTATTTGTTTGCTTTTAAGATTTATTTATTATATATAGTGTTCTGCCTGCATTTTTGCCTGTAGGCCAGAAGAGAGCACCAGATCTCATTATAGATGGTTGTGAGCCACCGTGTGGTAGCTGGGAATTGAACTCAGTACTTCTGGAAGAGCAGCCAGTGCTCTCAACCTCTGAGCCATCTCTCCAGCCCAGTTTATTTTGTTTTTAAATTTATGGTGTGTTAGTCAGGTTTCATAAGAGGAACAGAACTGATGAATGAATATGTTTATATTAAACAGGGATTTACTAGAGAGGCTCACAGGCTGTGGTCCAGCTAGTCCAACAATGGCTGCCTCCCAGTGGAAAGGTCAAGAATCCAGTAGTTGTTTTATCCACAAGGCTGGATGCCTCAGCTGGTCTCCAGTCTCCATTGGAATCCCAAACAAAGAAGTAGGTTCTGATGTCAGTGGGATGCCTCCACAGCAGGAGGGATGAGCTTGCCAGCTAGCGTGAGGGCAAGCAGGCAAAAAAACTAAAACTTTCTTTTATGTAGGCCACTGCCAGAAGGTGTGGCCCAGATTTAGGGTGTGTCTTCTCAAATTACATGTATTTAGGGTGGATCTTCTTTTTTTTTTCTTTTTTCCTCTCAAGACAGGGTTTCTCTGTGGCTTTGGAGGCTGGTCTCAAACTCAAAGAGATCGCCTGCCTCTGCCTCCTGATGCTGGGATTAAAGGTGTGCGCCACCACCGCCTGGCTTTTAGGGTGGGTCTTCTTACTTCACATTACCCAATCAGGAAAATCCCTCACAGGTGTGTCCAGCTGCTTGGGTTTTAGTTGATTCCAGATGTGGTCAAGTTGACAACTGAGATTAGCCATTACATATGGAATGTGAGTGTCTGCATGTGTGTGGAGGCCGAAGAGAGTGTCAGGTCCCTGGGGCTGTGAGCTGCCCGTACAGGTCCTCTAGGAGAGCAGCGTGTGCTCTTAACCACTGTGCCATCTCTTTAGCCCTAACTTAGTGACACTTCTGACTGCTCCAGACAGCTGGCTACAGGGCCTGGCCTAAGGATAGCCATGCCGGTCAGGCTCAAAATCATACACTGGACTCGGGGACTTAGGTCTGCCGCTCTCTCCCTCTGCTCCCCCAAGGCTGCTGGCATCTGCCCTGCTGCCTTCTTTTGCCTCCACTGAGTACCTACCTCATGCCAATCATGGAGGACACTTGTTTTCATTACAGGGACTGAACGTGTTTGATTCATATACCAGTGTCCCAATGACAAAAGTGACATTGCTTATCCAACACTAATTGTTGAATTTAATTATAATGGCCTTTCCCAAAGGTCACACCACTGCCAGAACCTGGCCAGTCTGTGTGAAGCCAGCAGGCTTTTTCCAAGTCTCCCTTCCTGGATGTGAGCCTCCTGGTGTGCCGGTTGACTCATGGATTCCTTTGTACCAATTTTTCAAAGAATTACTTACTGTGTGCTGATCTTTTTTGAGGGAGGGATGGCCATTCCAAAGTTTGAATTTTTTTTTCTGTCAAAAAAATTGACACACTATGTTTTATCCATGAATTAGAATTTTCTGGTCTGAGCTGTTTTGACATTTGGAATTAAATAGTGGAATCATTAGGTCATGGCTAGAACCATGTTAGTAGCAATTGAATTGGATTTCAGAGTAGGAGTGCCCTAACCCTGACCCGTAAGGAAGTGCTGAGGGACAGACCAGAAGTCAAAAGTTGGCAGACTGGTCATATGAGAAAGCATGCTTTTGGGCTTTCTAACTTAACTGCCTTCTTTCTCTTGCAGTCTTTCTACCCGATTTGGCACTGTAGCTGTCCCTAACATTTTGTTATTTCAAGGAGCTAAGCCAATGGCAAGGTTCAATCACACTGATCGAACACTGGAGACTCTGAAGACCTTCATTTTCAACCAGACAGGTATGGAGAGAGGACATCCCGGGGAGCAGTGTGTGTGTGACTGTGTGTGTGTGTGAGTGTGAGACTCTGTGTGTGTGTGTGTGTGAGACTGTGTGAGACTGTGTGTGTGTGAGACCAAGACACGGTCTCTCTGTATAGACTGTGTGTGTGTGTGTGTGTGTGTGTGTGTTTGAGACTGTGTGTGTGTGTCTGTGTATGTGTGTTTCAAGACACGGTCTCTCTGTATAGACTGTGTGTGTGTGTGTGTGTGTGTGTGTGTGTTTGAGACTGTGTGTGTGTGTCTGTATATGTGTGTTTCAAGACACGGTCTCTCTGTATAGACTAAGTTGGCCTTGAACTCACAGAGTGTGTGTTATATCAGTAGTAGCATACGGTGTATCTTCTTTGGGTTATTGCTGATAACTGTTGTGATTGTGAGAATCAGCTGCATTGTTGGGCATGGTTAGTCTTTGTTTTTATTGTGTTGTATTCCATTTCTTTATTTAGTTTTTTGGGGTTGGGGTGGAGACAGGGTTTCTCTGTGTAGCCTTGGTTGTCCTGGCACTCACTCTGTAGACCAGGCTGGCCTTGAACTCACAGAGTTCCACCTGCCTCTGCCTCCCGAGTGCTAGGATTTAAGGTGAGCGCCACAAATTCTTTCAGTAACTTATTTAAATATAAGTAAACCTGTGGAAACATTTGTGAGTGGTCTTGCTTGTTGAGCTTTGGTCTTAGGAGAACAAAAGGCAGCTGTAATAGGACATTGAGTAGAAAAGCTCTGAGGACTCACAGAAATTCTGGAGATTTAGCTTTGAACTGCTGGAAGGATTCCTGATCCTTTGATGTGCTGGGAGGAAAGCAAGTAACAAATCACACTGGCACGAAGGTGAAGTCCTTCCAAGATCCGCTTGCTTGCAGGGCTGTTTACTTTAGGGTGGATTGTCATTTTGCATGCCACGCAGCATACTTAAGATAAGCCTTGGATGTGTTTTCTCTCTAATTTGAAACAATCGATTTGTCTCTCAGGTATAGAAGCCAGGAAAAATGTGGTGGTGACACCAGCTGACCAAATGGGCCCTCTCCCCAGCACACTGATAAAGACCGTGGATTGGCTGCTCGTATTTTCCTTATTCTTTTTAATTAGTTTTATTATGTATGCTACCATCCGGACTGAGAGCATTCGGTGGCTGATTCCAGGACAAGAGCAGGAGCATGCAGAGTAGAGACACAGCTAAAGGGGAGAAGAGGAGTCCCAGCCGCACTTAAGCTTCAGGGAGACAACGCCCGCAATGCCGACTTACAAGGAAGTCAGATTCAAGAATTGTGTTCTTGGCGAACTACTGAGGCTAAAGAGATGACATATAAATGTGTTTTCACGGTGACAGTTTGCAGATGCAAAAGTATTCTCTAGAGTTGACCATTCTTGTTTCTAATGCTTGAATACAATGAATTTCTCTTCTAATGTCATAAGCAGGAAAGTGACTAGCATGGGTGTGGGCCTCTGAGTGGCACCTGATGGAAAATAAAAGGTCACGTGCCCCTTGTTGTGATCTCTGCTTTATCTGAATTCAAAGAGGTTTCACTTGTTTCTAGGAATCGCAGACAGCAGGAAAAAATAAAAGTTCTAATTAAAACATGTTAATTCTGTGCTACAGCGTGAGCTTTAGTCTGTTGTGTATCCAATGTGTATGATTTGAACCTTAAAACTCTGAACACTGGCCAGGCGTTGGTGGCGCACGCCTTTAATCCCAGCACTCGGGAGGCAGAGGCAGGCAGATCTCTGTGAGTTGGAGACTGACCTGGTCTACAGAGCTAGTTCCAGGACAGCCTCCAAAGCCACAGGGAAACCCTGTCTTGAACCCCACCCCCCCACCAAAAAAAAACCCCAAACCAAAAAAACCCAAAAATATAAACTCTGAACACTGAGCCGGGTGGTGGTGGGCACACCTTTGATCCCAGCTTTGGGTGGCAGAGGCAGGTGGATCTCTGAGTTTGAGGTCTAAAAAGTGAGTTCCATAATGGCCAGGGCTACATAGAAACCCTGTCTTGAAAACCCAAACAAACAAACCTCTGAACACTGAGCTGGATTGAGGTTCATAAAAAACACGGTTCTTGCCTGAAGGTTGAGTCTCGTTTGGGACACATTTAGAAGAGTGTAGCATGGGCTGCTGAGATGGCTTAGCGTGTGAAGGTGCTTGCCACCAAGTGCCAAGACCTGAGTTCAATCCCTGTGTTCTACCTCCACATGTTCACACAGCATGCCACCCTTCATACACTTGAAAAATGATAAATTTTTATAGAGGCAACATATAATTTGCACAAACCTCTATATTATTATTATTATCATCATCATCATTATTGGTTTTTAGAGGCAGGGCTTCTCTGTGTAGCCCTGGCTGTCCTGGAACTTGTGCTGTAGAGTAGGCTGGCCTCGAACTCCAAGATCTTCCTGCCTCTATGCTTCGTGTTTTTTGAGACAGGATCTCAAGTAGCCTTGGCTGGCCTGGAGCTTGCTATGTAGACAAAGCTGACCTCAAATTCATGGGGATCCTCCTGCTCTGCCTCCCAAGTGCTGGAATTAAAGGCGTGCACACTGTGCCTGGCTTGATGAATTACTCTCATACTAATTGCTTCCAGTGTTTTAGGCATTGTTTCAGTGTGTATAAAATACTCATTCCATAGAAACAGAGCGTTGTATTGAGAATTTACAACTTTATGGTGTGCATAGTGTCATGAACAGCCCTTGTTGTGTGTCCCCTGGAGAAGGGGACTGTGGCTCAGAAAGATACCATTATGTCTGTTCACAAATGAGCAAACTGAGCCTGAGAACGGTTGAGTAGCTTGCTCAGCTTACGCAGACAGTAAGTTGAGAGCCTTGACCTGTAATTACAAATCTAAGAGAGAAAAACCAACCTTAGTGATTCCGACTCTCACAGTATCATTTGAATCATCACTGTGCAGGCCGGTTACTATTTAAAATTCTCTGCCATACTGATTCAGTTACACCCACAACTCTGAGGTTGCTACTGTCAAATGAAGCTTGGGATAACTCATTATTGGCTGTGCGGCTTTCAGACTTTTGTTGTAGGGTTGTTTTGTTCTTTGGAGCCTTGAGATGTAGCTGAGGCTGGCCTTGGACACTGGCTCCCCCTGCCTCTGGCTCTTACTATGAGATTCCTGATGTGTGTCACCACACTTGGCTCCAGGCCTAGAGGATTGGCTCTGCCTTATTCTATGCCATGGCCCTGGTGACCTTTGACTGTGTTTACCTCTGGTCTCTCTCCAGTGTGTGGTAATGATAACAGAGTTCAGCAGTGTATCAGGCACTTTTTGTTGTGATGAAACAAGCGAACGTGAGATGTGGGGGAAGAAAGTTTATTTTGGCTTACGGGTCAAGAGAGAATTGGGAGTGTTGGGGAAAGCACAGAATAGGAAGCCCAGAGATCCCATTGTTAGCTGCAGACAGGAAGCGCAGAGTGAACTGGAAATGGACAAAGTTACAGCCTCTCAAAACCTGTCTGCAGTGACATCGTCCAGCAAGGCTCCACCCTCTGAAGATTCCATAACCTCCCCAAACAGCACCACCAACTGGGGACCAAGTTCAAACACCCTTGCCAGTGGGGGATGATGCTTGTTCAGACCACACAAGCACCTTTAATCTTTGTTAGGTTTTTTTTTTTTTTTTTTTTTGGTTTTTCGAGACAGGGTTTCTCTGTGTAGCTTTGGAGCCTATCCTGGCACTCACGCTGGAGACCAGGTTGGTCTCGAACTCACAGAGAGCAGCCTGCCTCTGCCTCCCCAGTGCTGGGATTAAAGGCGTGCGCCACCACCCGGCATCTTTGTTAGTTCTTGAGACAGGGCCTTCTGTGTAAGCTACACTGGCTCAAACTCACCAGCTGCCTCAGCCTCCGAGTACTTCTACAGTGCTAGAGGTGTGTGCTGCTGCACATTTGCATAACACCTTCATTTTACCAAGTGTTACTATTTAACTGTTGGTAATAGTTTAAGACATTTCCAGGGCTGGAGAGATGGCTCAGAGGTTAAGAGCACTCTTGCTCTTCCAAAGGTCCTGAGTTCAATTCCCAGCAACCACATGGTGGCTCACAACCATTTATAAGGAGATCTGGCGCCCTCTTCTGGCCTATAGGCAGAATGTATACATAATAAATAAATCTTAAAAAAAAAGACATTTCCCTTTTTATTTAGTGTGTATGTTCTCAGGCACATGTGTCATGGTGCATATGAGGTCAGATGACAACTTGTGGGAGTCAGTTCTCTCCTTCCTGGACATAGGTCTGAGGGATTGAGCCCAACTGCTCAAACAAGTTTTCCTGCTGAGCCATCTTTCTGGCTCCTGGTAGCTTTCTTAACCTTAGGTATAGAATAGGCTTTTAATTAAATTTAACATACTTGCCTATTAATCTGTATATTACCATCGTATTCTCATTTCCTTTGGAGTAGCTTCTGGAGTGAGAATTATTCTTTCAAAAACTGGATTTTAGGCCAGGAAGTTGTAGCATATGCCTTTAATCCCAGCACTCAGGAGGTAGAGTCAGGCATGGTCTACAGAGCTAGTTCCAGAATGACCAAGGCTACACGGAGAAACTCTGTCTGTCTCAAAAAACAAAACCAAACAAAAAACCAGAAAGAAAGAAACACACACACACACACACACACACACACACACACACACACACTGATAACTCTTTCTGCCAAGCCCCGCCACCATGTGGGCACCCAAAATAACACACAGAGACTTGTATTAGGTACAATGCTGCTGGCCAATGACTAGGATTTCTTATTTGCTAGCTCAGTCTTAATTATCAACCATAACTACTAATCTATATATTTTATAAGAACTTATTGGACATCAGCAGTAGGTGTCGTCTCTTGCCAGGATCACATGGTGGCGCCACAGAGAAGAGAGGAGGAGGAAGAGAGCGATTTCCTGCTTGTCCCTGCTTATATTCTGAGTCTGCCTGCTATGCCACTTCCTGCCTGGATCACAAGACTTCTCTTTACTACATTTCCCAGAATCCTCATCGACTCCTAGTCCTACCTAACTTGCTTCCCTATTGGCTAACAGCACTTTATTTATCAACCAATAAGGCAAACATATACACAGAAGGACCTCCTCCATCACACACACACACACACACACACAAACACACACACACGTTTGGTTTGATTATGGTTTTGAAGCCAGTGCCTCTAGAAGAGCAGCCAGTAAAATGTTCTTAACTGCTATCTCTCCAGCCCCAAAGAGAGATGTCTTAGTCACTGTTCTGTTGATGTGAAGAGACACCATGACCACGGCAACTCTTACAAAGGAAAGCATTTGATTGGGGCTGGTTTACAGTTCAGAGGTTTAGTCCATTGTCATTGTAGTCGAAGCATGCTGGCAGGCAATCAGACATGGAGAAGGGGACATGGTACTGGAGAGGCGGCTCCATTTGAAGCCCCAAAGTCAAAGTGACACATTCTGTAGTTGGGCTTTCCTTTGGGTGGCCAAAGCTTGGCCTTTAGCTTAGGCTTGTCTCAACCAGCTCTTATACCTTAAATTAACCGTATTTTAAAATCCACGTTCTGCCATATGCATTCCCTCTCTTCTATCTGGCATTTCCTGTCTCCTCTCCATGTCTGGCTGGTGACTTTTTGTTCTTCTCCGAGTCCTCTCTGTCCCTGGAAGTCCTGCCTAACCTCTTTCTAGCTATTGGCTGTTGAGCTTTTATTATACCAATCACAGCAATACATTTTTACACAGTGTACAAATATGCCACACTATTGGGACATGGGGCCTTGTTGGAGTGGGTTAGGGTGCCTCCCTGGTGACCAAGCATTTAAATCTATGAGCCTATGGGGCCATTCTTATTCAAGCCACCACAATAGGGTTAAAAAAAATCCTTTTTATTACCCAATGAGGCTCTATTCTATTCTAAAGTCTAGGGGGTGTGAGAGAGAGAGTGACCAGTATTTCTAGCAGACCAATGGCTTTGCTTCTAATACTTAACTAAAACCACCTATACGGCTCCTGGAGAGAATTCAGAACAAGGTTATTGCCTGGAGAGGAGGAATATCGATTAGTCAGAAGACTGAGGGTGAGAGGCTTGGGGTGGAGGAACAGCTCAAGATTAGGGCCCATCATCACAAGCCAAGCATGGTGTCCACCACAGAGACACAGTTTTTTGTTTTTCTTTTTTTCAAGACAGGGTTTCTCTGTTGCTTTGGAGACTGTCCTGAAACTCTCTGTAGACCAGGTGGCCTCGAACTCACAGAGGTCCACCTGCCTTTGCCTCCCGAGTGCTGGGATTAAAGGCGTGCGCCACCAATGCCTGGCTCAGTTTTAATTAAAAAAGATAACTCTTTGAACTTTACTTTTGTATGTGTATGCATGTTTTGCTTGCATGTATGTGCATTGTGTGTGCCTGGTCTTCTGGAGGCTACAAAAGGATGTTGGATCCCCTGGAACTGGAGTTACAGACAGTTGTGAGCTGCCGTGTGGGTGCTGGGAATCGAACCCAGGTCCTCTGCAAGAGCAGCAAAGTGCTCCTAACCTCTGAGCCATCTCTCTAGACCTGAGAGCCTTCTAAAAAATAAAATAATTAAAAGTGTGTGTGTGTGTGTGTGTGTGTGTGTGTGTGTGTGTGTCT